AATACTGTACTTACCTGTGTGCTACTAGAATATGTACACTATAGTGTATTTACCTGTGTGCTACTAGAATATGTAGACAACAGTGTACTTACCTGTGTGCTACGAGAATACGTAGACACTAGTGTACTTACCTGTGTGCTACGAGATTCCTAGACAATAGTGTGCTACAAGAATATACAGAAAATAGTGTGCTACAAGAATATACAGAAAATAGTGTACTCACCTGTGTGCTACTGGAATATGTGGACACTAGTGTACTTATCTGTGTGCTACTAGAATATGTACACTATAGTGTACTTACCTGTGTGCTACTAGAATATGTAGACAATAGTGTTCTTACCTGTGTGCTACTAGAATATGTACACTATAGTGTACTTACCTGTGTGCTACAAGAATATACAGACAATAGTGTACTTACCTATGTGCTACTAGAATATATAGACGATAGTGTACTTACCTGTGTGTTACTAGAATATATAGACGATAGTGTTCTTACCTGTGTGCTACAAAGAGACAAAGACACTGTCCAAATAAACAGCCCACTAGAAACAAGGTCATTGTGAGAGGTACGAACCAGCTTCTGTCACATACTAGGTCCCACTGGAATAAAGACACATTCTTAAAACGATGTACAGCCTTGTATGCAAATTCACAACATTTAATGAAAACATAATTATAATAAAGTACCACGTTGAAAGAGTTCGACCAAGATTGATTATATACGAACAAAAATGAATTACAATTTTCACATAGGTCAAGTTTCTAACACGACAATTGATATGCATGGCTCTAATATAGGCTTTCATTTTAAGCCATTGAAGATGGCTTGTGTGTAGATGTTGCTCTTCCTGCATAAGAAATACGATATCATATAAGACACATAAGTATAAGAACAGCAATTTTTTATAATTACATGAGCAAGAAGTATGTTATCAAACCACGCTAGTTATAGGCCTAAAATACAAACTGTTCGTAACGTATAAATAATAAATAAACTTTTTATTCATTGAAATAAATCACTGCATACAAACTGTATAAAGCAAATGCTTTATTTTATTTAGGGATTTACAACGCTAAAATCCGATGTTTGATTCCCCGCGGTGGACAGAGCGCAGACACACCAATGTGTTGCTTTGCACAAAAAACACCAATTTTATTCCCTTTAAAAGATTCCCTCACCCCTCCCGTAAATATTATCGCCCTTAGGCCCTCATCGTGAGGTGGACAGAGCGCAGACACACTAATGCGTTGATTTGCACAAAAAACACCAATTTTATTCCCTTTAAAGGATCCCCCGTAAATATTATCGTCCTTAGGCCCTCATCGTGAACAATAAGGGGAACTTATTTCACTTTAGAAAAAAAAAGTTCTCACCTTTCAGTAATTCATTCAATCTTCAACTCCGAGATAAATCTTCAACTAACTTTTACCTAAGGCCAAAACTGGTCATGTACTAAATTTACGTGTGATGACGTTTTTTTTTTGTTGTTGTTAAAGGAATAAAATATTTGATTTTTATACAATTTGTTTGAACTATTTGCCTATGTCTACAGATGAGCATTACGTAGTTTGATTTGATTGATTTACTCGCTAGATGAGTTTAGCACCGGCAAAAGCACAAGCTCCACTTCGTTCAGTTTTAGAGTTTCATGGCAGCTCAATCACAGTTGGAATTATAACAAATCATTAATCACCGCCATTCTTGTAATTTTAGGGATTTAATTCCCACTTAAAAAGCGAGAGTTAAACTGTATTCTAAATTATAATGATTTTCATCACAGGTGGACCGAAAAATAGAGAGAAATAGCATCATGAAAATTACCATAATAGTGAAATAGATGACAGGTATTTATAGTAAAATTACAAAACATTTTAAAATAGAAACAAAGACAAAATAAATTAGAAGTGGAGATATATGAAATAAAATAATGTAGAAAATACAAAGATAAAACTAGATGAAGACGTAATAAGAATAAGTAATAAATATAAATATTTAGGCCACATAACAGAGAAAAGAGTAAGATGTAAAACAGTCAGAAATACTTGCTACGAGTTTTCATGGTCACAAAATAAGAGAACTTATGGTCTCCAAAATCGATCAAAAATACATAAAGTATATTAGTCGTATTTTTCACTGTCAGTTTCTTTCTCAAACAAGAGGGAATCCTCAATAGCCGTGGCACTTGAAATTCTTTTTGGCAGGGTTAGAGTAAATTAATCTATGATACCTCTTTTTTCTTCTTTTTATTAGCTTTTTATTTCAAGCAGGATTAGAGTAAATTATTCTATGGAACTTTGGGCGTGGTCAAATAGGTCAACGAGTCCAAAACTGTGATTAGATCTCAAATCGGTCAAGAGATGACGGAGCTATGAGCTAAAAGTTTATATTTGGAAATGAAAAGAAAACAAACTCAGAGCCATTCTATGAACCATTATGCCGCGGCTAAAAATGTAGCATGCACTTAAATGAGAAACTGGCTGAATATTAGATAATTAAAATATGCTGAAATAATTTTTATGAAAATATTTTAATTTGCACAGTATTCTCTGCGCTTCATATTTTTATCACGCTTTACTTGAAAATTTATTTTTATCGAACCCTGATGCAGTAAATGAAGCAAACCGTAGCTAGAAAATCACAACTGTTCTTGATTTTCAAATGCGCGTGAGCCACATGTCACTAGGATTCTGTAAAATTCGCTTTTTTTTCTTCTAATGGACCTCGTCAGTGATTAACGAAGTGAAGCGAAGGGGCTTCTTCTAACTTGGTTGTCAAGCGAACAGAATTGCTTGTGAGGGGTGGGGATGGAGGAGACTAAAGATGGGACATAGCAGTACGTTATGACATAAAGACAGCTAATATGGAACTTATGTGTCAATATATGTATATATATTTCTACATTTTAAATAAAATTTGTTTAAAAAAATGTCTTCTTCTTAATCCTCAAAAACTTTGAAGATGAAGCTTTTGTGTCATTATTTATATGTTTTAAGTGATGCTTGTTATAAAAAAAAAAATAAGACCACAAACTATTTCGATCTTCTTTATCATCAGCAACTGTATCTGATGTTGGCCGAAACATTATACAATTAAATAGCTAAATGAAATAATAAGTCAAATATTGTGACCGAGCGTAATTTTTGTGTTTTGTTTATTCTTGTAACAGGTAGCCGTATCTGTAAACATTCTTCGAGAAGAGTTATCTAGCTGTTTGTTTGTTTTATTTCAGATATTCACGCAACGTTACTCATTAGCTATTTGCGCCAACCGTCTATAATTGTGAACAGATAGACTAGTGGAACAGCAGATTGTCAACAGCACCCATGGCCCCAAAGTTTGGAGAGCGTTTTATTTTTTCGATAATGGCACACGTATAGTTCGAGAACCGATTACTAGGCCTTTTTTTTCGATAATGGCACGCGTATAGTCCGGGAACCGATTACTAGGCCTTTTTTTTCGATAATGGCACGCTATAGTCCGGGAACCGATTACTAGGCCTTTTTTTTCGATAATGGCACGCGTATAGTCCGGGAACCGATTACTAGGCCATGCTTGGAGAAAGTTTATCTGCCATTATTCTTAAATATTGCTATTATTTCATTTTAATTTCCGCTACCGAAGGTGACGGAGATTATGTCCCCCCCCCACCCCCTGTGTATGTATGTGTTTGTTTGTGTGTTTGTCAGCAAGATTTCTAGAAATCGGCTAAATGGATTTGGACGAAAGTTGGTATACATTTGGACTATGATCAAACTTAGTAGTGATTAGATTTTGCAGGATCAAGGTCCAAGGTTAAGGTTACAGCAAGGTCACGAAAATCTAACAAAACATCTGTTACCATGGGTACCGATTTTTTACACTATACTTTGCTCTATAACTCAGTCAAAAATGTTCGGATTTTGATGAAACTCGGTGGACATATGTAGAATATTCTCCCTCATGGCCTTTATCCGTTGATAATGGCGGTCATACGGATATGTTTTCGTATTTTTTTTAGGGTTGAAGGTATGCACTCTACTGAGTGCCCCTTTTTTATCACGGTTAAGTCACCCAACATTAGAGAAGTACCATACATTGAATTTCAAGCTCTTTACAAAAAAAAGCCCATTTTTCCTTATTGCCAAACAAGTTGCTTTATTACTTTTTTTACGACCAATTTTTCCCTTCCAAGAGTTTAAATATTTTTATTTTTGCCAAATATTAGATAATTTGCCATTGAAAATTTTTTGCATTACTATTTCCCGTGCCTTCACAGCGATGATTTACCAAAGCTACATAAACACAGCTAAAGGTGCATTATAAGAGTGACTGGTTAGGCAACTAGTACTGCTGTCTAGTTGTTCTCCATCTAGTGAGCAGTGAAAACGGCTATATCCGATGCTTATGGTTTCTGACCTGGCCATTTACCTCTTGTATGCATTCCAAATACGAAAAATTTTTCACAAAAACCTCAAATGCCTAAATTACATAACTACAATATTAATCATGTTTAATTAACAAATGAAATCTTTGCGGTGATTTCTAATATTAAACCCAATGAACAAACATTTATCAAATTATTTTAATTTAACAACTTTAAGGTTTATTACGTAGTACTTTGTTCGGAATTAAGCACAAAGCTACACAATGGGCTATCTGTGCTCTGCTCAACACGGGTATCGAAACCCGGTTTTTAGCGTTCTAAATTCGCAAACATACCGCTGTGCCACTGGGGGGGGGCATGTATTACAATCAGATATCTAGAAAAATAATAACGTAATTAATTTCGCTGCTGCAAACATACCGCTGTGCCACTGGGGGAGGCATGTATTACAATCAGATATCTAGAGAAATAATAACGTAATTAATTTCGCTGCTGTACAGTTTTCTGCGACTGACCAATAATAACGTAAATCATTTCGCTGCTGTACAGTTTTCTGCGATTGACCAATGAATTATTCACACGAGTTTCAGAATACTCAAACTTGTTTTGGTTCCATTTTGATAGTTATTTTTTTTACTGTACTTTATGGGCATGTGGACCAGTTGGCTAGGTCAAGGACTCCAAGCGTTCACTTTTAGTCGTGCCTAATTTTGAACAATTGTTTAGAAGGATGGCAGTCAGCCAGCAGAACAGCCCGCAACCAGGGTTTTGTCTAGCTTTTTGAACAAAAATAACGGATTGGTGGTCACTTCTATAAATCATCCAATGATAAAAGTGTGGAGTGTGTTCAGCTGCTCTATACTTGGACTCTTGCGATCCGCAGGTGGTTCGACAAACTAGGTAGTACCATGTAAGTTAATATTAGCTTTTTTAGCTTTTGTACAATATTCCAAAAAAATGTTTGACACACTACTACTCTACTATAAAATTTAATGTTATTTTATAAAATTTCAGATAATTGTGTATATATATTTTTTTATTGGTTAAGACTTGAGTAACGTAAGTAACGAATAGCTTGACGTCAAAAAAGCAGTATTTTAATTACTGTATTAAAATGTTTTTCGTAAGTATCAGATAAAATAGTTTTATAAATATTAAGAAGTAATTAACTTTTATAATCCTTGTCCGATAACCAATGTGTTGCAAGAAAGCTAACTTGCATTAATTAGTTAAGAA